GCAGCTTATCTGTACCTCTGAATATTCCAATATCATGGTTGGAAACACCTGAAAGGACTTCACACATTTTATCAATGTGTGGATTCAAACCTGGGTGTTCAGTGTGACAAGGAAACACTTAAACGACCAGACTACCCCACTGCCAATCAAGTAATATGATTGATGCCCATTTATGAAAACGAAAGTCTGGCCATGGCGCTAAATGTACAGTACCATGTACCACTGGGTACTCACCCTGGGTTCCTGATGGGACATAATGCGATCAAAGAGCCTCAGATTCTCGAATATTTCCTGTGGTTTTATGTCCTTGATTGAAGGAATCATCCTGTTTTCTGTTGCATTGATCTGAAGGAAAGAGAATAATTATCTTGCCTCACACATAAATGTCATTTTCTGATTGGCTGAGCCATCTATTATTTTCAATGTACCCCGCATGCAAGCCAGTAGCAGTTTCTATGTAACATGGTTTTACATGACGCATGATTCCCAAGCGATTTGACGCAACAATTTTGTAAAAGACTCTCACGATGTTATAAGAGTCAAGCATGACGCAAGTTTTATGGGTGACCCTCAATTCAGTTCAATAATATCAGTTTGATAAGCAAACAATGATAGTTTTCGATGATAGTTTGACTTTGACAGAGCTGTCAGATTGTTCCAAAGAACTCTGTAGAGGAGACAGTAATCCTTTGCTACTGGCCTCGGGTGACACAGCTACAAAAAGGCGTACATCAGACTGTATTACCCTCGAGAGAAGCATACAACTTATATTACTAACTAGTTATATAAATGACAATGCAACATAAAACAATAAAATATTTGCCAAACTCTTGCTTTTGATTTATAAAACAAAGAAATATTAAATTTTCATGACTCCTAAATATTGAAAATGACTCCTAAAATAGACATTGTGAGTCACCATGACTGCATTTTCAAAGTCTGTGTAAAACTCTGATGTAAATCTGCTGGGAATGCCAACTCATTTTGTACTTCTCAGAGTAGTGATTCTTTATCTCGATTAACATTGAATCACGATGATGACCAGTGAACAACTTATAATATCATGTTCCAACAGCCAACAAGTTGTCACCCATTCATTAATGACTTTAATTGATGAGATACAAGCTTACAACATGTAAAACATACATTTGGACCTTCTGCAACTAAAGCAACTCTCATCAAAAAGATTAAATTGATTCATATGTTAGTTGGGCAACAGATTTGCTCCTAAAATGTAATGGCCAAATATTGCAGGCATCTTGTTCGCTAATTTACATAGCACACTGTAATTTTGTTGACCTTTACACAACGGGCTGTTCTGGATGTTTAATTCCTCACCACTTGAAATAGAATCACAAGTTATTGTGATCATTAACTGACAGAGATACCTGCACATGTGCTACTATATGTTTATGAATTTCAGTGAGTGAGTGAGTTTCTAGTTTACACAATTCACACTCAGCAATTTTCCAGCTTTATGGCGGCGCGGTCTGTAAATAATCGAAGTCTGACCAGATAATCCAGTGATCAACAGCATGAGCATCGATTCAAGCGCAATTGAAACCGATGACAAATATAAGTCAACCCAGTCAGCTTAGCCTGACCACCCTCGATCCCGTCGCCTCTTACGACAAGCATGGGTTACTGAAGATCAATATTCTAACCCGGACCTTCACTGGTCGGTAATGAATTTCCCAAGAAATAGACATTTGCTCATGACTACCAGCAGTCATATTTATCTGTGAATGTATATCTGATAAGGTCAATAACGGTGTACATACACATTAACTGCACAAACTGCTGCTGATAATGACAGAGAGAATGACACTATGACCAATTTCAATGCCTCTTTGCAATTTTTTGATCAATCATAGCACATCCACTTGATTTGGGGAGAAAGTTCTTTGTCATTCACCACTCTGGGGAAAATCTATTAGCAGGGCTTGTTGCTGACAAACCCTTGGAAAAATAATGAGGGCTAATCTGTAATTTAAAAATCCATAATCAAGGATTAAAATCCATAATCATAGGTTCTAGCACCCAAAGGGAAGCAACTTTCTACAGCATATTGCAGCACCTAAGATTATGGGTATCACACATTCATCTCTACATTCTCCAAATCAGCATCTCATTGATAATCACCTACCCTCGTATTGGTGAGTCCTTAAGGGTCTGATCGACCATGTTCTGTAACCTGATGTTTGTTGGTTGGTAGAACAATCCGATAGATGTACATCCTCAGGCCAATTAAAGCCATTTCAGAGGATGGATGGTCCGTGGAGCCAATTCTTCCACAAAGATGCGGCGCCAGTACAAGCCATTATGGAAACCAAGGACATGTGGGAGAAGGACCCATGTTCTATGCCTTCACACAGCAGGTTGTAGATGAAGCCTGTGTAATTGTGGTTTTCAAGCGGGCAGAGCCAGCATATAGAAGCTATGGGTGTGAGTTATGGCAGCTGCGAACTGATGATCTCTTCGCTGTAAGTGCAAACCATGGCAATCATAAGTTTCATTGACTTTGCCTCGAGATGTGGTGAAACAAATTTGATGCGTGTAGGTCTGTCAATGTCAATGTTACATAATGTCTCAACAGAATTGTTTTATTGGCAAGTAAAAATAGTATCCATGGTTCTTTGATGACGAATATATTCTGCTATGATGTATGATGCCAACATTACTTCATGATTCAAGGATGCCAACATTCTCTATAATACATGGATGCCAAATATGATTCATGGGTGCCAACATAATATGATACTAAATGATATATGGATGCCAACATGCTTCTATAATATAAGGCTAACATGATTCATGGATGTCAACATACCTCACATGATTCATGGATGTCAACACCAAGAATCATGGATTTTCAACATAGTATGATTTAGATGCCAACAAGCTACATAATATAGTGGACTATATATGTGATAAATGATTTCCAACATAACATACCATATATGATACATGATATCCAATTGATAACATACCATATATGATACATGATATCCAACATACATACCATATAAGATACATGATATCCAACATAACATACCATATAGAGATACGATATACAACAACACACCATATATGAAACACCAACATATCACCTTATGAAACATAACATACCATACATGATACATGATATCCACCATAACATACCATATATGATACATGATATCCAACGTGCCATATACTTGATACATGATATCAACATAACATACCCCTATATATGAAACATGATATACAACATGGCATACCATACATGACTTATCTAACTGACTGAGCTTAGTTTTACCTGGCTTTACCACATTCCAATATCAATACATGCGAGGACACCAGAACCGGGTATAACATTGTGCCCATGTGGGGAGATCGAACTCCGGGGCCGATGAGACGAAATAACGCTTAACCACACTAGGCTACCCTAATCACAGCCTTACATACATGAAACATGATACAACATAACATATACCCATATATATGAAACATGATATACAACATAACATACCACATATAGGATACATATGATATACAACATAACATACCATATATGATACATGATATACAACATAACATACCATACATGATGTTAATGATATACCAAATTATACAATATATGAAACATGATATCCAACATAACACACACATATGAAACATGATATACAATAGTGTCCTCACGATACACCAATATCCGCGATTACGATGCATTATCCGCGATTTTAAGATCACGACATCGATACGTATCGCGATACATACTTATCGCGCCTTTCGTAGCATTACCTTACCAGACACGACGCGGCATTTCGCTGATTTGTCCATAAAATATTCACAGCCAATCACAAAAGCTGTTAGCTTCCCAACTTATTTTTTAAGTAAAGCTAGCTACATCATATTTATCGAGCCATCTGGTATAATTTTACACGATCAAGACTTTTGACGGAGATGGATATAGCATACAAGATTTGAGATCGATAAAGGATTTTAATATGAGGTCTATACACGCTATACGTATACACAGTATCGTGATCAGTCGAAGTAAATATGTGTATCGATGTGAGCCGATACATTCTACGTGACGACACCTAATATACAACATAACATACCATATATGATACATGATATCCAACATAACATACCATATATGACGCAAATATATCCAACATACCATGTAATGCGATACATGATCAGTCAGAATAGCGTGTACCAGGCAATAATAAGACGGTAGCCCAAGGTACAAACTGGAAGCAACCGACCCTAATTAATTCAATTCTCGCGGATAGCTTCAACTCGGTGCGAACACGAGCGCTGAAGGGTGATTAAAGCGATTAAAGCGTGATTAAGCGTGATAATGATATCAAATATTCCATAAAAGATCCATGAGTTCCAACACATGATACGTAAAATATATGACTAATGGTTTTCAACACATTTTCAAGTTTTCAACATACCATACCGGGCGGAGGATTGCCGGATGGTTCTCCGCGACATCAGAGTTCCTCAACAAGGATAGCTTCGAATACTCGACTACCTTCGGCCACCAAGCGAAAGTGAAATAGTCCACTTCGCGATGAATGTCCGGTGAAGTCATTGCTCAGTAAACGATGCTCAGTTCCACAATCTGAGCATGTTCTGTCAACTGAAAATACACACGAAAAAAGGCCCAGGGGTGGAAATAACTTTAAAACGATAGTACTCCGTATAGTGGCACATGTAAAGTCACTTTACCCTGATATTTTTCCAGTATAC